TATCATCTTAATTGTTGTTCTTTGCGATGATCTTGTCATCCGAGAAGTCTGCTTGATAGAAAAATATTTGTGCTAGAAAAAAAATCTTGGTACAGATGGGTGGTTGATGTCTAAATGGCCTTCCCTTTGACTGTTCAAGATTCTTGAGTACTCATATTAAGACAAAAGTTACAAAATATTTGTTATGAAATAGCAGAACAAAAAGAAATCATTCTTGGTTGTGCCTCAAGCTCACTTGTCACTTCTATTAGTCCTCCATGCAACCAACAAACATTTACTGAAAGTTCTCTGTATGCCAGACATTGTGCTAGCTGCTGAAGATACAATGGTAAGGAAGGAAAAAGAAGAAAAACATGATGATATTCACAAGGATTGTAGATATTATAATAATTGAATAATTTTTTATAAAACATTAAAATATAAATAATAACCGTGATTAGTTCTGTGAAGGAAATGAACAGGGTGAGCTTGTGGGAGATGGAACAAGACATGAATAACCAACTTCCCTGTTACTTTACTCTGAATATATTTATATGCCTTCCTTGAAAGAAGTTGTCTGGGAAAATTTAATTTTCTGAACAAGGTAAAGGAGGACTTTAATTTTTTTATAAAACAAATAGATCTTTCACTTCACTGAATTACTTTACCAAAGCATTCTTCAATAGGGTTTCTCTAGTATATTACAATTACCATATAATTTGTAAAGACCCAGGAGAAATAAAACTTTCCAGGAGCACAGTTCTCATGCAAGGTGGACTCAGAAGTAGATGCAGGCTACTGCAGACTGCTAGTAGCCAATATGTGAGAGTAGCTAGAGAGTTAGTGGGGTAGGGCTTGGGGGAGGTGACACCCCAAATGTATATTGGGTTTAGGAACATCATTTCTCAAATGAAAAATCAGGACACAAGGACAAGGTATTGTTTATAATTGGTAGATGAATTTACTGAATTATTACAAAGGCATAAAAAATGAATCCATCTACAAATGTGGACACATACAACAACGTAGCAAGTATTTTCAGTAGATCAAAAGTTTGAGAACAAGTGCCAGATGGAGACTAGTATGAGTAGAAAGAAAGAAAATAAGACAAATCAAAATCACAGGAAGTGAATGCTCCGGAAGAAAACAAAATTTCATTCTTTCAACAAATATTTGTTTAGGGCCTACTGTATGCCAGGGACAGATTTATCTGCTTAGGATGTATCATTGAATGAAACACAGTATGTCCACCCTTGTGAAGTTTACATTATAGCAAGAAAACAAATGACCAATGATGAACAACTTAAGTCAGTAGGTCACAGGACATGTTAGAAGGTGGTGAGCACTATGAGAAAAAACCCAGAGCAGGGCAAGAGGGAGCAGGTCTACAGGGCGCCCCAAGC